TTCACCAGCTTTATTACTTTTTAAACCAGCATAAAATGATACTGGTTTATGTGTTTTGAGCTTTTCGTGAGTAAGAGATATGAGAATGACAACAACATAAAGAAATATTAAAGTACCGTAATTTTCTGACTATAAGCCGCGCCTTTTTCCCATTTTTCGACGCTGCGGCTTATATAACGGTGCGGCTAATCTATGGATTTGTACAGCTCACGGCCACCACCTTTAACTCTATGGGCTCTATGGCCGGTCCGCGGACCCCCAACTTTAAGCGGCGGGTTCCAGCAGGAAAAGCTGGAGGCCGGAAAAGAGTGAGACAGGTAGCGCGCAAAAGTAAAAGTGGAACCGAGAGTGGTGCGAGAGACAGAACGAGAGCAAGACAGACAGACATTACGAGAGCGAGACAGTTTGTCCCCGTACCACTGGTTGAAAACCGCTGCTCTAGATCACTGCCGGTACGTGCGCTGGGAGCGCACCGTTTAAGTTTGAAAGTTGAAAAGTTTGTGTGTCTGAAACGCTATGTGATACAGTACAGTTTACACAGCACAGTACATGTTCTGTAGCTGCTATTGCACTAAATGGTAACACTTGAATACGTTATGCAAATATGCAACTTGTTTGTTGAAATGTTAATAAATGGGAGCTTCCTCAAACAGCCATCTCTTTCCCGACAATCCCCTCTGTGCACGAACCCTTACATATGGTAATTAAACATTAAAACAACTGCGGCTTATAGTCCAGTGCGGCTTATATATGTACACATCATTCAATTTAGCTGCTGCGGCTTATATTCAGGTGCGCTTTATAGTCCGAAAATTACGGTATATATAATGAGATCAATGTATTTTAAGATTGTTTAAAGGGATCCCCTTGTTTAAATCTGTCTATTTTAAATCTCCAAATTATTTTCACTAGCATTACCTAATCAAGGAAAGTTGCCCTTGAAGCTTATGAGTTTCAAAAGGCTTTAATTAGATTTCACTTCATAGAATACTGAAATATTGAGTATCTCTACATACCTGGTGTCTGGACACTTTTCTGCAAGACAAGAGATAAAGTCCGACAATTTAAAAATGTACAAATGGCAGGCAGGGGAGAAGTCAAACACTCTTATTGACACGCATATTGAACAGCAGAAAATATATTAGAGATACTCACAGTGATGGCCAGGAACCTCTTTGGAGTCATGGCCTGGAGAGATGAAGGACATATTTTAAAGACGTAAATGACAGTGACATGTTTCTGGTCAGGTAACAGTGCATCACCCACACTGTGCCCCCCCACCCACACTGTCCGTCCTACACACACACACACACACACACACACACACACACACACACACACACACACACACACACACACACACACACACACACACACACACACACACACACACACACACACACACACACACACACACACACACACCATTAAAGCATGCTTCAGTATCGACAGACTCCATTAAAGTTAAAGTGCAGGTTTACCTTTGACTTGCTGGCTTTCTTCTTCTTGTCGTTGCAGACGTCACGCCTCTGCACCTGAGGGTCAAATAAAACAGAAGACCGTAATGAACCAGCTGCAGATCAATACTAAAAACAGGTATGTAACCGTTATCCAGAATGTTTCTCACAAGGCAAACATGTAAACAAACCTTGAAGCAACCGAGCAGCATTAAACCCTCAGAACAAAGACGTGCTCAATGTGAAACCTCTTTATCTAGAGACAGTTTAACATGACTGCACATAGCATTTCATAAAGTTTCACCTGTAGAGCTGTTACATGCAACTCAAAGTATCTCATGCTGTGCACGATCATATTTTTATCATATCCAGCAAAGTACATATGAGAACAAATGCACATATTACAGATGATCTGAAAGAACGTTAATATGTGAGTAACAGTGTTTGGAGACAATTAGAAAACATCCTAACTGGAAATCAAACTGTAGGGATGAGCGTGCAGATTCCTCCTGGTGGATGAAACTGAATTTGTTGTAAGAAAGATTCTACTTTTGAAAGTAAACACTCACCAAGCTGTAGACCTCGACATCAATCTCAAAGTCACTGGAGACGTCAGATCTGAGAGGGAGGCGGATCAGAGGTATTTGTTAAAGTACAGAATAGAATGATAGAAACATGTTTTTATAATCTGATCAGGGGCTCACATGGTGAAGCTGGTGGGGAAGGACAGCGTGTCTCCACTCAGCCCTCGATGTGTGCTCGCTAACGGAGTCGCCACAGTGTTCTCCACTCCAGCTCGAAGCATCAGGAAGAACGAGTGCTTGGTCGCCTCTGAAGGGAGGAAGAGGCATCTTTTATTCACAGATCCAGAACTCTGCTGTAAAGAAATGTCTACTCCCTAAATCACTGTTGTATTATTAGTGTTTCTTTCTTTGTATCTTTCTCATCTGTGTTTTTGGTGTCATCATAGGCGCTTTCACTCCGGAGTACTTTTCCCGGGAATAGTTCCGATAGTTCCTGGGATTTTGCGTTCACACCAAAAAGATCTGGAACTAGAACTTTTTTTTTTTTTGCAAACCTTTTCCAAAGGTTCCAATTTCTGATTGGCTGGGCGGATTGCAAACCACGCCCCGTAAAACTCTGAAAAGTTTTGTGAAGCCGCCATTTTATTTGCTGGCATTAGCATTATTAGCATTAGCCCCGCGCACCAACGCAGAGAGACTAACTTATGGCAACACAAAAGAAATCATGGGAGTGGTGGAGATGTCGGCGTTCTGGCAATTTACTCGGAAGGCTTCAGTAGAAGCNGGGAGTCCCAGCAGCTTCTACTGAAGCCTTCCCCAACTCCGGGGACTTCCGGCCGGGGACTCCGGGTGGCAGTATACGCCGTGAAGTGGTTTGCGGCCTGCCAGTTAACCCAAAGCAGAAGAAGAAGAAGTGACGTCAGCGGCTTCATTTGACTAACCCTCCCTCAGGAACTTATTCCGGTGTGAACGCGGTCTGCTAGAAAGTTCAGGGACTAAAGATTTCCGGGGAACTAAGGTCCGGGAACTCTCCTGGAAAAGTACTTGGTGTGAAAGCGCCTCATGTGTATATTGCTGAAAAGAACTATGAACAGATTTATGTCATTCATGTAAAGATGCAAAGTACAATATGATGTGACAATGTTTGACACTAAAAAGTAAATAAAAAGAGTATATAGGGGACCTTTGATGTTCATTGCTGTCACCAGAGAGGTGCAGGAATGAGTCCTCTAGAGTCTTTTATCTCTCTCTTCCTGAGCCTACCTGGCTTGTTGGCGATGGAGCAGACGAAGTCGGCCTTGAGAGGCAGACGGAGCTCCTGTAGAGTGACGGAGCCTTTAGAGGCCGAGGGTCCAGAGGGTCCCGGGGCTGAGAGGGGCTTCTTCTGTCCCGTGGGGTCTCTGGTCAGACGCTCTAGCTCTGCCTTCAGAGCCTCCCTCCTCTCCGCTGGGAGAGAAGAGAAGAGAGTCAAGCTTTGGTTCCACTGAGGGGTCCACTGGAGAGCTCTCATCCATCCATCAATCAATCAATCAATCAATCAATCAATCAGGGGTTTAAGAGTGAAGGGTCAACTGGAGAGCTCTCCTCAATCAATCAATCAATCAATCAGGGGTTTAAGAGTGAGGGGTCAACTGGAGAGCTCTCCTCAATCAATCAATCAATCAATCAATCAGGGGCTTTAGAGTGAGGGGTCAACTGGAGAGCTCTCATCAATCAATCAATCAATCAATCAATCAATCGGGGGCTTTAGAGTGAGGGGTCAAATGGAGAGCTCTCATCAATCAATCAATCAATCAATCAGAGGCTTTAGAGTGAGGGGTCAACTGGAGAGCTGTGTCTTTAGCACGTCGTCTGTTATTTGTCTAGTAACCTGGTTTTTGTGCAGATAGACATTAGAGTGCACTTAGATCAGGCTTTGTGTTGAGCTAGGCTCTAGGCTCTGCATATGGATGCTTCATATACTCCAAAGGACACGCCTCTAAGTTAGAGGCTGTTAGTGGGATGTTACTCACTGGCCACCAACAGCAGCCTCTCGGCCTCGGCCTCCACCTGCGACCCCCTGCCGTGCTCCTCGTCGGTGCAGCAGTTCAGAGCCTGGCTGGCCTGATGGATGACCGTCTGCTGCAGGTTCAGCCCCGTGCTCAGGACCTGCAGGAGAGGGGTGGAGTGTAATATATCTGTACTGGTGATATGACACCAGCATTGTGACAGATCCATGACACTGCTGAAGTTCATCCTCATGAAAACTCTACACTGTAATCTGGCATGAATGAAACTCAGGTCGCGTTCACACCGGCCTTGTGTAGCCCGGTTGAATCGAAAGCTGCAGCGCTGCAACCCTTGGTGCGGCTCGTTTGGGGTGGAGACCTCTGATGTGAACTCAACAACCTAAAAGAGGTGGGCCGCTTGCTAGTGAACTCTGGAGCGGTTCATCGCTGTGATCGCAGTCCGCACCAAAACACAGGAAACGTAGTATTTACGAGTCACAAGAACGCGGATGTCTTATGAATGAAGAGTTGAACAGTGTCGTGTAAAAGTAAAAAAGCTCCCTCAACTATACAGAAAAGAGGCAGCTGTATTTTGTATCTAGGCTGTGTGTAACATACAGTAGCCTGAAGTCATAAACGAACCGAGGCTATATAACCTTCTGAAAAACAATGCACCAAGCGTTCCTCTGGCGCGCAGCAAAGAAGTGACCATCAGGTGAAAATGAGACTTTAAGCATTTGTGTTTCGAACCTTCATCTTCTGCTTGACGTTGAACAGAGCGGCTCCTCGGGGCTCCTCTGCTCTCTGAGTCACGTCCTCTTTCCTCACGATCACCTGCTTCACTGCCGGCTTCTCCGTCTCCTTCACTCGGATCGACCTGTAGGCGTCGATGCTAAACACACACACAAATATTATTATACTATAATAATAATAATAATAATAATAATCTTTATTTGCATAGCACCTGTCATACAACAAGTGCAGTTCAAAGTGCTTCACAGACATTTCACAGAAAATTGAAATCACTCAGAATACAGTTTCAAGTAAAAAGACATAAAAACAAACTACAAATAGCATGAATACTAGGGCTGTACCCGAATATCCGAATATTAGTTCGTTGGAGTCCTATTCGGGTTTCAATTTTGTTATTCGGATATTCGTTTTTTGCCAGTTTTTTTTCCAAATTGAATTTATTGAAATCTCCAATATCAACGTAAGAGCTTGTGCCTCTTCGGGGGTGCTAACACTGAACCATAAACGTTATCGTTTACTTTCTCCGTCTTTATATGTAGATATTACTTTTTCTCCATTAATCTCCGTCACGTTGTTTCCATAGCAACAACAACTTCCTGTCAACTGCGCTAACTCTCCTTCAAAATAAAAGCATGTCCATAAATAGGAAGCCAAGCCAAATTACAATCAAGACATATACAACTGCAATGAAAGTAACACACACAATGCGATATCCTTTTCAATTTCAAAGAACACAAATTGGGTAACATTAACAAATAACTATAAAACAGCAATACTGTAGAATAACAAAAAGAATGCCGTGAATAAACCGAAATACACGTGTTTAAGCGGTTCGCTGCTGATTACTACGCCCGCCCCCCCGCTCGGGCAGAATATTCGCTGCTGATTACTACCGAATATCCGGAGCCCCGAAACATGGTATTCGGGACAGCCCTAATACATACCATACATTTAGATTAAAGGTACACCGATGAAATTGTGCATAATATCAGTGTGATTCTTCTCTGCTAATGTTTATCTATATTTACTACTTTCACTTCTTCGTTATAAGCTTGGAAAAGTCCTTATGAAGAAGATGTGTTGAGTGTTGTTAGTTAGCAGCAACATGATGACCTTCTCCTTCCTGATCACCAAGCTTCCCCCCTCCCTTTCTCCTCTCTGTGTTTAAATAACCCAAACTCTACTCTTGGTCTTTCCCTCTGCAGACTGCATGCTCTCTGTGTGGCGGAACGAACTGTCTTGCAAGAAATAAAACAAGGCAGCTGAATGGTTTGACTCTCTATCCACATTTGATAAGATGAACTCCCTTCCAGACATCAGAAACACATTTAGTCCAACAGGAAGTGGATAGCTCTCTGCTCCAGACTAGGGTTGCCAGAAACTGACCATGATCAAAATCAATTATTCGGCAGCCCTGGTGAATAATAATCGATTATTCGACCGAAACTGGTTGAAACTAAGCCAGAAAAAAAACCATAAATAATAATAAAAAAATATATAAATAAAATCGATTTTTAAAAATAATATAAGTTTATGGAGACTGTAACGAATATTCGAATAATCGAATAATCACTGGCATCCCTACTCCAGATTCCTACCTGTATGGAAGTCCTCTCTCCTCCTCCAGCGTCTCCCCTGAGGAGGCGCCTCGCACCATGTTGGATCTCTGGAACTTACTCCGTCTGGACGCCTCTTCAGGAGTGCCGCTCTTCACCAGGAAGGAGGTGGCTGGAGTAGACGTCTGCAAAAACAAAACAAAACATAGTTAAAACTTATACTGTTTGCAGTTTTTAGAGTAAGTGAGCGTCAAATCAGTTTCAATATCTTATCTAGTTTTAGGAGTTCAACTCAGAACAACACAATGTACAACAATATCTGTTTTCTTTGTTTATTCCATGTTTTATTCCATTTCTTCGTAAATACTGTTATATTTCACTATATTTTGAATTACTTTTTATATTTGTCTAGTTCTCTGTGTTTTTCATTTTTGTTTTACTTTTATGTCTGCGCTAGGGCTGCACGATATTGGAAAAAACTGACATTGCGATATTTCTTTCCCCTGCGATATGAAAAAATACATGACTACAGTTTTTTGTCCGCGAACCATCCTTTCTTGAACTTTAATACAATTGGTGTTTTTCTAACTATATTTAACTGGAAGAAGGATTTTAGTCACGGAGGACTGGATCTTAAGTTATCAGAGCAACAAGCTGAGCTAGCTGCCCTGGAGAAACACATGAAACTACTTTGTTCAGTGTTTTGACCTTTAATCACGGGGTCCGTTTGCTCTGGAGATTTGATGGTGATCGGTGGTTTGCTGTCACTCACTCAAGTACCCCTGACATGAGAGCCGCGCAAGTTTTCCTTTTGTAGCAAGCAGCAAAATAATTGTAACATGACGTGTTTGAGTTGATTTGCCTACTTAATATCGCACATCCTAAAAAAAAAAATGGCACGTCCTGCGATGTGAATATCGATATATCGTGCAGCCCTAGTCTGAACCATGACATCAAGTCAAATTCCTCGCACGTGTCAACCTACCTGGAAATAAACCTGATTCTGAAGTATGTGTATTTTCTGCTTTTTTGTATTGCTATCGAGATGTTGACAATTTTAAATGTTTATTTCTAGTCTTTTAATGTTATTGTACAATGCCGTGTCTTTTATGCTGCTGCAGCCCAAACATTTCATTCCATTCCAACTTGGGATCAGTAAAGTACTTCTGATCTTAAATACGACATCCTGCAGCGCTCCCTAATTCAGAAGCTCACTACTTCCTTTTTAAAAATATTTTCAGATACAGATCATTTCCTGACAATAACAGGAAGTGGTTCCTACCATCATCCTGCTCTCTGGACTCTTCACCACAGCAGCCACACTCTCCAGAGGAATGATCAGAGACATGGAGGAGATGTTCAGAGCATCTTCCTCATCCTCTTCCTCATCATCATCGCTCTGGTCCAGGACTCCCTCAAACAGCTGGTTGATAACGGCAGAGTTGATGGAGCTGTCCACGTTCATCTCCCGCTCCTTAACCACTTCCTGCTCCTCCTCCTCCTCCTCCTCCTCCTCCTCCTCCTCCTCTGTGGTTTTCTCTGCAGGATGGAGGACCCTCAGAGGACTGGATGTTGAGGCTGGAGGCAACATCATCCCATGGCCTGACATTTGCAAAAAATCAATGTTAGAAATAGTATTTTCTAATTTAGAAAATGAACAGGTTTCCAGGTGTTTGCATAGTAATAATTATCTTTAAATCAAAGTACAAAAAGGGACAAGACACCGTGTATGTCCAAATACATATTTAAATAATCTAAAACTATTATGTTGGATGAAATGTAAGCTTTTTGCACATCACAAAACGCTTCAAGTATATGATCAATTCAGGCCATGCGTGTTGTTGTTTGTAAATCGTTTTGTGAAGATAACAGCTGGTATCTCTGGCATCCTCAGTTTACTCCCTTCAAAGCTGAACAAATTAAATATTCAGCACGCAACAGCTAACATAACTTCCTTCTCATTAACAAAAGTAAAGTGTAAAGCACGAGACGCAGACTCTGCTTTTAGCATTAGTTAACATAGAGACAAGTTGGGTACAAAGTCATACATTTGACAAAGATACCACACCTCTTCTCGGGGTCGGAAACACACATTATGATATCATTCATAATGTTTTACATTAGGGCCCAGCTTTGACAAACCAGAGCTTTCCCAAAGCCAAAAGATCTAATGGATGAAAGAACAGCTGCCAACGCTCATTAGAGAATCATCTTGTTAAAACCAAGTAAACATGTTCAACAGTGAGATGAAATATAGTTTAGTACCTGGAGGGAAGCTCTTAGTAGGCGTGTCCGTCCTCTGAGCCGCAGCTTCCTCCTGCTCTTCACTCTGAGACACTTCAGACTCCACGGGCTTCTCAGGCTGCTCCTGAAACATATCAGCCATTTAACATTTCATCACGAGAGCAGGACTGCGGGGTGAGATGTCAAACAGAACGTTGTAATGTGTGAGTCAGATGTTTGTTGGCGTACCTTGATGTCTGTGTTCTTGTTGGTTCCTGCTGCCTGATCTTTCCACATGTTGCTCCCCTTCTGGAAGCGACTGCGAATCTGAGCCAGCTCTGACTCTCGCTCCTGAAACAGAAGAGGTTGTTTTTAAAATCTCATTTCACTATTGTGACATCAAACACAATGATTACAGGTAGCTAGAGCTGGGAGATCTATATTATATTCATCATTGTGGTTCTCTGCCTTTTGCACTCCGCCCCAAACAGATGGTCTTTATGCACATGAAGAACAGGAAACAAAACGAGACAACATTTTCTATTTTTGTGATTACATGTCACTTGTTAGACGCTTTTATCCAAAGCGACTTACATACTCAATACTGTGGACAATCCCCACAGGAGCAATTTGAGGTGAAGTGTCTCAGGGACACAACGACATGCTGACTGCAGTGGGGTTTGAACGTGCTACCCTCTGAATCGAAGTCCAGCACATTAACCACTGAGCCACAGCCTCCTCAAATCTTTTAAATGATGTTAATGTAAATAAAGGAGCATGCATTGGTGATATGGAGGTTAATAGGAGGGCAGCTGTAGTTGGGCTGGGTCATATATCAATATAACATAGTTTATTTGATAGGAGATTAAATGTAGTGTTAGATTTGGTACATGGTGAAATGACACAAGTGTCTATTCCTGATCTGAAAGGCTGCGTTTCACTAAATGCATGTCATTTTCTGAATTAACCAGAGCTGTTTTATTATTAGGCTTTAAGTCATAATAACCCTATTTCTGATGATTATTTATCAAAATTGTAAACACTATGTAAAAGTTACCCTAAAATATTGTCACGGTATTTGTTTAAAACAGTTTTGAGTTGGTCTCTCAACTCTCTGCTCCAGAGCTTCTCTTGATACCTGGACTTAAACTCACACCGTGCATTTTACATTTATATTCAATCTAATATTTAATAATCCATTCCTTGCACTATTAATGTATATAAAATATCCTGCTTTATATTTTGTTACTGTACATTTTAATTCCACATGTATATTTTCTATTTTTTTTTAATGCTATTTTATTTCTATTTGAGACATTTACATTTTGGATTGTTTATTTCTAGTCTTTTAATTTCTCTAATGGGCAATGCCTTTTCTTTTGATGCGGCTGCAACGCAAACATTTCCCACATTGGGATCAATTAAGTACTTCTGATCTTATTATCTTATCCCCAGCCCTGCAGGAAACAGACAGCGAGTGAACCAAGAGACACAACGTAACATCAGTGATATTGGGCTGTATAAATAAACATTGATTGATTGAACGAACATGTACCAGCTTCTGTTTCTGGGTGAGGTCAGCAGTAGTTGTGTGTGTTGCGGCTCTCAGTCTCTCCTGAACCAAACGGGTGTTCGGGGTGAGGGAGGAAGGAGTCACAGCAGGGGTCCTGGAGCCCCCTGCTGGAGAGGAAAGGTTACTGCGCTCCTGGCACTTCTCTCCAAAACGCTCCAGGAAAGATTTCACACCTGTTGGGAATAAAAGGGAACAATTATTCTTTTGATACAGGCGGAAAGACCAACTGTGAAGAAAAAATAAAAAACACATTTTGCAATATTACTGGCACAATTAATAAGATGTGTCACCTTATCTCATACATCATTCCCTGTACTTGTATATAGACTCTTCTTGCTCTATTTATATTTTATTTGTATTAACTTGCACATCTCAAAACATTCTCATGCACTATTTTATCTGTTTTATTCGTTCTACGTCCTGTATATATTCATGTTGCTCTGTTGGAGGAGGACTTCAGGTTCTCCTCTGTAGCTGCTGAGCACATGGTGATAGAGACTTGAAACCTTGCAGGACTAGATCATCTCTAGATATTCAGTTTTATAAAATAACTCACCAGGTCCTCCTGGGGTGTCCTTGGGCCCAGAGGATCCAGTGATGGTGGGCTTGGTTCTGAGTTCTGGTTTCTGGGGGCTGGGGACGGGATTCAGGTTCCTGGAGAGGGCCTGGGTCTTCAGGGGGCTCTGAGGCACGGATGTTAGGGATGAGGGTCCGGCCTTCTGGGGGCTGTATGGACCCTGGATGGAGCTCTTCTGGGTGCTGGAGGGGAAGGATGCCCCCTGGATGGAGCTCTTCTGGGGGCTGGAGGGGAAGGATGCCCCCTGGATGGAGCTCTTCTGGGGGCTGGAGGGGAAGGATGCCCCCTGGATGGAGCTCTTCTGGGGGCTGGAGGGGAAGGATGCCCCCTGGATGGAGCTCTTCTGGGGGCTG